TTCAGTCATTCATTGAATGATAAATCACTACAAGTGATGGGGATACACGATTTAAAGAACGGAAAATCCAATATTTTAAAAATGTATCTAGAATGACTGGAAAAGTGAAAACAAGACTCGATATAATTTGATCGTTATGGGCAAATCCAAAATCTTTGTAGATAGAGCTAATCAGTAGTTCCCAACCTTGGGGCGAATGAAATCCGATACATAAATCGGTTACTAAAAGAATGGAAAAAGCTTTTATTGTGTCGCTTAAGTTATATAGGAATTCCTGAACCCAAGAATTAAGAAGAATAAGTTCTTTATTTCCCAGAATGGAATAACCACCTAGAATAAGGAAACAGATAAAATTTGTGAAGAAGTGCAAAATCATATGGATACAATCTTCATTGTATGTCTTGATCAATTGAATCGTTTCGTTGTGGATTCCTATACGAAGCTTTTGTAGATGTGTTTCCGGACATTCCTTTATCATTTCGTCCAACAAGCGGAGCTCCTCAAATTCGATCCATTTTTCGCGAAGATTTTTTTCTTGAATATCATTCAAAAAAGTTTCAGATTGCTTAGTATTCCACCAAGTAGTAACCCAAGATTCCAGACTTTTTTGAAATGATAGATAGATCCACCAGGGTAAAAATACTATAGATACAAGATATAGAAAAGGAATAAATGCTTTCTTTTTTTCCATTTTTTTCATCTATAAATTGTTAATGAACCCACCGGGTATTCATCGAAAGGAAGGAATTGATTTCGACGAATACCCGGCAGAGCCATTTCGTTTTTTCAATTAATGAATATTTTTTATTTTGATTTCAAGATGAAAGAACTCACTTTCTACCAAAATAGAAAATATTTCCAAAAATTGAACAAATTAACCATAGCACAAAAAAAGAATTTAAGACTTGAATGTGATAATAAAAATGGATGGCAAAACACGACAGAATTTGGATAATTTAATTCTCGTTATAATTAGAAATTATAAGAAATCAAATTATTTTATCATTAAAGCGAACAAAAGATTACTAAAAAAGCGATAAAATTTACATAATGTATGTAATATATCAATTACAGATACTGGAAATTCTATGGAATTGAATTGGTTTGTATTTGTAGATATAAACAGTTTCCCCCTTTTGGTTGTTCTGTATACGTCTGTTTTGACCCGAGTGGGCGTTCTGATGAGATTTCTGTTAAGGTATGCCGTAGAAAAACGTATTCTAGATTTTGTATTTTACGCCAAGTTAAGAAAACGTTCGGTATTTCCGTTCATTTTTCAAAATCCTTCAATTGGTACACGCAAGAAATAGGCCAATTCAGCCGCCTTTTGTTCCATTTCTCGTGGAGTCAAATTCTCATAAGTACGAGTTAAAGGAATGGCTCCTTGTCCTCTGATTTCCAGATAAAGAACACGGCGAGTATAAATACCCTCTTTAAGTTCTATTCTAATAGACTGAATATCTTTTATAAGATATCGGAAAAAGATGCGACGATTTTTTCCAGGGAATCCCCAGCGAAAAATACAGACTATTCCCTTTTTTCTATCGAATTGATCATAACCACTACCCACATTCCACGAAATTGCACACCACAAATATGAGCTAATAAAGAGGCCGACAATCCCATAGAAAGACATCACGACCCCTTGTGGAAAAAAAAGAATTTGCTAGGGAGGAAATAAAGATATCAAATTCTTACCAAGATAGCTGGAAATTCCAACCAACAAGAATCCTAATGAACCGAAAAAAAGGATAAAGGCCCAGCAGAAATTACTTATTTTTTGAGATCCCGTTATAAGTTCTACCCATATACGTTCTGATCGCCAATTCATACTAGATCCGGTTGCATTTAATTTGAATTGAAAGAATACCCCAAATGAATTGTACTTTCCTTACTCTGTCTTGTTTCCGATGTAACTCTCATCAACTAGTCCTATTTTGATGTCAGAGGTGTTTCACTTTTATTTCTTTCTATTTTTTCTTTTAGTTCGATCAAAATAATAACATCTACCCCTAATATTGTATTGTCATTTTTCCGTTTACATCACATACATAAGAGCTCGTTTATTAATGTTCGGAAGAAATCATGTGTTATACCATTCCGCTAAACATATATATTTGTATTATAATTCAAATCTAAGTTTTTAAAAATGAGATTTTGACGAGACGATCTAAACAATTTTATTTTTTTGAACATGAAGAAATAAAGAAGCCATTGCAATCGCTGGAAATACTAGGCCTACTAAAGGCACAAAAATTGAGGAAAAGTTCATAGTTGTCATAGACCGGGTACCTCGATTTACGATATTGTAATTGTACCTGTTTGTTATATTTTTGTTGTTATTATCTTATTATATTAAAATTAATTAATTAGAATTCTATAGAATGAATATAGTATAGAATAAGTACAAGAAATGTAGAACTAAAAAAGCAATTCGATTTCTACATATAATATATGATAATCGCGTTTACTTTCTCTTTTTTTCTTTCTTTTGCTTTTACTAATTCAAGAAAATCGAAAAATAGAGGATTTATTATAAATTAAATTTCCAAAGCAGTCGTTAGAGTCCGATCCAAGAGGTATTTTAAATAAAGACTCCCCGACGAAAGATACAAACAAAAAGTTTTTTTTTTTTGGAATCTAAAGGAAATAAGCATAGAGGTTTTTGGTTCGCGACATCCTAATTTTGGAATAAAAAAACTTTTTGACACAAATATAAAAATTTCCCTTAATCCTCGCCTTTATTTTGATTCAAAGGAAAAAAAAGCATGCAGTTGAAATAACTCACTTAGAACGCCTTTTAAAAGATTACGTGATACGATTGGATCGAATAAACCCTTATGGAATAAAAATTCGGCTGCTTGTGACCCTTCAGGTACTGTCTTATTCAATGTTTGCTCAATTACTCTTTTACCCGCAAATGCAATGTAGGCGTTCGGTTCAGCAATAATGATATCCCCCAACATACCAAAGCTGGCAGTCACCCCACCAGTAGTAGGAGATGTAAGGATTGATACATAAAATAACTTTTTATTTGATTGATAATCATATAAAACCGACGAGATTTTCGCCATTTGCATTAAGCTCAAGCTTCCTTCTTGCATGCGTGCCCCCCCGGAAGCACATACTATAATAAGGGGGATTAATTTATTGGCAACATACTCAATCAATCGGGTGATCTTTTCCCCTGCTACGGATCCCATACTGCCTCCCATAAACTGAAAATCCATAACACCAATTGCTACAGGAATACCGTTTAGTTGACCTATACCTGTTTGAACAGCTTCAGTTAAACCTGTCTTTATTTGATAAGAATCAATACGATCTTTATAAGCTTCCTCCTCCGAATGAAATTCGATAGGATCCATAGAGACCATACCTTCATCCATAGGATTCCAAGTACCAGGATCAATCAGAAGTTCGATTCTATCTGAACTACTCATTTTCAAATGATATCCACATTGTTCACAAATACCCATTTTTGACTTAAGTAATTTCTTGTAATTTAATGCATAACAATTTTCGCATTGAACCCACAAATGTTTATATTTTTGAGTTACATCAAGATTAGTAGAAATTTCGATTTTAGGGAAATTACTGTCGTTTGTGATAATTCTTTTACTGAAACTTTCGCAGGTATTTCCACTTTCATTAAAAATGTAACTCAAAATGTAACTATCACTGTAATTGTCACTATCACTTAGGATGGAACTGCCACTACGGATTTGAGAATGAAGATAATTGTCAATGCAATTATTAATGTGATTATTCCAACTATCTTCAGTATAATCCATGGAATGATCATTATAAGTATCGCCACTCTTAGATCTAGAGTTCAGATAACTTGAATTCCAATAATTCGAAAAGGAACTTTGCAGTTCATTCAGAAAAGACGGATCGTTGTCAATCTCAAAAACTTGATTTTCAATATCGAAGTATAGGGAATAACCGTCCCCTTTACTATCTATAAGTAAAAAAAGAGTATCAGAGATGAAATTCCGAATGTCCATAATACGAACTAAATGATCAATATTACTATAACTAGAACTGTCACTATTTCTCCAACTATGAATGTTTTTTTCTGTATCATTTAGACTCGGATCTTCCGTTGTATTGGTATTTTCAGTAGGACCAAGACTGTCCATTGATTTACTTAATCCACACCCGTATCTGTGTTCTAACTCTTTTTTAGACAAGATCGAATTGAACCAACCCTTTTTCATAAAGTTTTCTTGCCCCCCATTCGCATGAAAAAAATCGATGAATAGTCATTATTTGATGAAAAAAAATTGAACATTTCTTGTCAGAATAAGCATCTAGATACAACCGCTTCGATTATTAACTAAATATTAATGAAGTATTATATTGAAAGAAAGAATTTTTTTCTTAGAAGAGAAAATTCACGCGTAAGAGAATGTTTAAGAACTTCGATTTCAGAATTGGAATCGGGTTGGTATATTTTTGATTTAAAAAATCGAGTTCGAGCAGAGTTGTTTCTGTTGATTGTATAAGGAAAAGAAAAAAAGACTACTTGTTTTACGCTTTGATAGGGAAGGTATATGTAGGAAATCGAAAAGTCTCTTTAACAATGTTTCCAATGAAATTTCTTTTCAAATTCAAACCCAGGCTTGGCTCCAAATCAAATTGTACTAAACAAATCTAAGTAGGGTGTTCCTAGATTCATTTCTTCCATTCAATTGCAGTTGATTGGTTTTAACTAACAATCAAATATTACTAATTTATTAAACTATAATATTCATTACTATATATTTAGTAGGGCTATACGGACTCGAACCGTAGACCTTCTCGGTAAAACCGATCAAACTTTGTATTCTCAAAATGATTTGAACTGTTTCAAAAACCCAACATGCATTTTTTTGCATTGGGCTTTTTCATTAACTGATATAAATATCAGCTAGTCTACCATATTTTTCTTGATAGAAAGAAAATGGTTCCGTGTGCTCAGATTCATTATTCATTTGAACTTTGATTCAAAAGCACTACCAAAGTGTTTCAAAGAAGAGTTATCTTGACGTAGGTCTGCCTTTGGCCTAGATGAATTTGAAAATTAAATGGAGTCTCTATCGTTTCGCTTAAAGAATCCAATATGAAACTTCATACACCTTAAAGTTCATAGGACGCCTAGCATTGAATAGGTTGGGTATTCACCCTATCAATATGTCAAATCAATAATGGTATACATTTAGCTGTAGAAAATTTAAGGACACTTGCGTTTGCCACCGTGGGTAGTCTGGTTGTAGTAGCAAGGGCACATTTCTTGGTTACCGGAAGTACCCGGTGGCACGCACCCGCAACGAGCACAACAGGTTCCACATGCCCTGTGACATAGGTTTGGTCTGCTGCTTAACCGACACCTAGCTACACATGCTGCTCCACAATCTGCATCATCCATACATGAATTAATTTTACATAGTACGTATTATAATTAACTATATTGTTTTATAATTGCTCAAGTTATTCTAATTGTTAGAATTTAAAAAAAATATATATATTATCATCATTATTGAAATGTAGACTTACTTATACCAAGGAGAGACCTCTTTGGACCGTTACTCTCAATCTGTGGGACAAAAATAGTAATACAATATATATTTAGTTTCAAATATGATAAGAAAATTTTGAAAGAAATAGAGAGTAGCAGCATATATACTAGTATTACATTTTTTTCTGTTGCAATAAAAAAATGCATGGAAGGAGCACAAAATATGGTTAACCAATTTTGAAAGGAAATTATTAAGGTAAGAAATTAAATGTGTTCAATATCAAGGTCATCTATTTAGTGTGGACAAGGTAGGTATTAAAAATCTTTTTCATAAAAAGGGGGGGGGGGGGTAAGTACTAAAAAAAAGACATACATCAAAACAAATTGAACAATCCTAGAAACTATTGATATATGTAAGAGTTGGACATATTTGATCTACTGAGATAAGGAGACACATGTATGTTATAATCTTCATGAAATAAACTTATATAGAAACGGACGAAAACAAAAAGTGTAACTAATATTAAAGAATTGGCTAAGACTAATGGTATAATTACGATGACTATAAATACTTTCATCACGAAAAGAGTTTCATAATCCACGATACCATACATGACTTAAACCTAATACTATGAATAAGAAGCTTACCACATCCTGAGCTTGAACCACATGAAGAAGAAGAAAAGAGAGGACAAGAGTAGCAATGAAAAGCTTGGAAATTGCCATATTAAGTTTGTTAATTTAATTTTAATTAATCAGGGAATGTTTAATTAATTAGAAGTGAAGAAAAGAATTGCAAGGAGGGATGTATATATAGAGCAATAAAAGGTCCTTTTATTCTCATGCAAGAGAGGATCCAGCTATAGGTATCAAATAAAAGCACACCATAATTTGATATAGAAAACAAAAGAATGTGAATATTTGTTGGTGGAAAATAAAGGAAGTGGGCGCATGCATATAAAATGGGCTTAAGAGTTTTAGTGGGTAAAAAGTTCTAGGAGCTTCTTAATTGAGAGAAGAACCAAGTCTCCTACCAACTTCTAGTCTTGTACAAAGTTATTTAAAATTGACACATATAACCTATATACGTGTGGGGTACAAAGTAGGAAATGCACTATTGCCACCCCATTATATCATATGCCATTGTAGGTACGTAAACGTAATGATGTTACGCTCTTGTTTCCTTAAAGCACAAAGAAACCATGGCACTAAATCCCACCTAATCCACAACCCTTGGTTTTTCTGTCTTTCCATACCGTGTGTTAGAATGCTGTGGGGATAATCGCATTTTTGTAATTTGTGACTTAAAATCTTAGAAGAATGGCAAATTACTGACTTTATATTCCTTTAAGTTTTAATAAGTATTACCCTTTGACCGGCATATATATTAAGGGCCTATTTTCTTCAGTTTATTTTCAGTTTAGTTTAGTTCAATTCAGTTTAGTTCATCTCCAATAAGTTCAGTTCAGTTTAATTCAGTTCTTATCTTAATTTCCTTCTCTTATAAAATATTCAGTTCAGTTCAATTTAGTTCAGCTCCAATAAGTTCAGTTCAGTTCATCTCTAATAAGTTCAGTTCAATTCAGCTCAGTTTAGTCAATTAGTACAAGCCCTAAGGCAATTTAATTGATTAAAATTAAAAAAAAAATTTAAAAAGGTAAATGAGATAGTTGGAATATAAAAAATATTGTTAAAAAAAATAAAATAATAGGGTTAATAGTTTATTAAAAATGAATGGTTGTGCCTGAGAGGAAAGCAATAATTAAAAAAAAATAGTTGTGGCGTTGGGTGGGGATCATGGGAAGAGAAAATTATAATACTATGTAGTAAAATAAAACACAGTTGTTGTTTTTTTTTTTTTTTTTTTTTTTTTTTGCCAGAAAAGGAAGTAAAATATTTATTAAAACACAAATGGGGTATATATATAAGTGATCTAAAGAGATTCAAATTAAAGGTAATAAAATTATTAAAAAAAAATTTAAGGTAATAATTTATTTCAAGAGCTTTTCAAGAATTAGTCATCATTTTTGTAAGAAGAAAAAATATACACTTGTTATGTTTTTACTTTAGATGGTAATCTGGTATGTTTCTAAGTTGACAATTTGTTCTAAACGTTGCATCAATAAAATTACTCTAAACGATGTTGAAGCCATTTGGGCTAAAAAGTCCAAGTTCATTGACATTTTTTTAGAAAAGGTAAGGTCAATTGGGCCCTGTCGAAGGCTCCCAGGAAACCTAGAAATGAACTAGAGTAATAAGGTGGGATTTGTTCCTGATGTGGATCAGACCTCGCACCTGGAGGATATAAGGGGATACATCAAATCTTAAAATATTGAAAAGTATTGTAAAGCACATGGGGCTGAAAGAAAAGGAGGAGAGAGATGGGCACGTGAGACCAATTTTTAAAATAATATTACCTCTGGTCTAATTTAGTTGCAATTTTGGGGGTGACTGCGGAGGCCGAGGCAAAATTTCCTAATCATATTTATTGAGAGATAAGGGTATACACTTAAGTATTAATCCAAGTAATTAAAAAAATAAACAAATTCAACCCAATTTTAAAAAAGAAACCCACCACCACCGACACCACCTAGCTGGACAAAAACCATCCACCAGGCCACCACCACCGCCTACCATCAAACCCAGCCACCCAAGCACCGACGAACCCAGCAACCACCAAACCACCACAGCCGAACCCAGCACCGCCGAAACCACCAACACCGAAACCACCAACACCAAAACCACCAACCCCGAAACCACCAACCCCGAAACAACCAACACCGAAACCACCAAAGCCGAACCCACCAACCGCCGAAACAACCAACACCGAAACTCACCGACGAGCCGCAGTAACCTCCCACCTACCACCAAACCCTTAAACCCACGAACCCACACATCCAAGAACCCAAAGATCCACGAACCCACAAACCCCCAGATATGGAAAAATAATAGGAATGGTTGAAGGAGAAGAGAGAAAAAAATGGGGATGAAGAAGAAAATGTAGAAATTTGATGAATTATGGTGATAAGGATTGAGGAGGAAGATGAAGGTGGCTGGAATTGGTTTTGGTGGCTAAGGGATTGATTTTGGTGAAAATAGGTTACTTAATTAATGTTAGGGTTAAAGCTAATGAGAAAAAATCAGTTTTGTAATTAGGGTGTTTTAAAAAAAAGTAAGGGTAAAGTGGTAGTTTTACCACTAAAAAGTCACTAAAAAGGAAAGAAATGGGAAAATTGCAAGTAATGTGGACCGTCCCAAAAGGGAAATAGTTGCAACTAAATTGGACCGGAGGTAGTAATAATAACATATGAATTATAAAACAGTCTCTTGATAATAAACAGTCTCTTCGTACATACAATTTTAAAATATTAAAATAAACAGTCTCTTCGTACATACAATCTTATAATATTAAAATAAACAGTCTCTTGATAATAAACAGTCTCTTCGTACATACACTTTTTTTGTTAAAAATAATAATAATAACATATGAAGTATAAAACATTAGAATTTTCTTATTAAGAAAAAAAAATTACAAGTTAATTTTGTATTAATTGATGATATGTTTAATGATTAAAAACACAATATATTAATGAAAGTAAATATATTAATGAGGGTAAAAAAGTAAATACAAATTTTTATACATTTTTTTAGTGTATAATTGGTAGCACCATATTTCTAAGAGTTATCTTCTACTTTTTATAAGGTAGGGATTATAAGGAAGGGATTAAAAACACCATATATTAATAAAAGAGTTTCTCGATTTTGAAGATTGGTAACGAGTAAAACCCACGTCTGTTATGTTAACAAAAAAGTCTTTGCTAACAACTAAATTCAACCTGAGGGGGCTTAGTTGATCTCTTTCATAGTTCTACGTACGTAAGCAGCCCATGAGTAAAACTGTACAGATCAAGTTCTTTCGTTGTTGTTGAAGTCTAGTTGATTACTTGATTATTACTTTTTATGAGGATAGTTGATAAACGATATGTATGTATTTCAATAACCTCGTAATATCTACTCCGTACTTAACAAAGTTTGGGTTAATACTTCTAGTCACTTAAGAGTTGATGTCAATGTGTGTAACTGTCTAATTAGAAGTCTAGAACTTACAATAACGTATTACACCAAACTATGAAGTAAAATTCACTACTGATTTTCGAATATGGATTATACTACTTTATCGCCTTTGACTATCTCTAAATCAATTTATTTATATTTGGATGCAAAATACATCGTCCATTGTATTTTCTACTAATTTAATATTTTTTCTCAATTTAAAAATTAAATCGACCAAAAATATATATAGTAACATGATCCCATGATCATGCCTAATATTAGTCCACTAAATCCAACTACTCTTATGACTCCACTAATACAAATTAATTACTTAGTATGAATAATAGAATATTACATTCCTATAGACCTATACATTAGTGTAGACACTCATTTGTGTCTCCCCGAAACCAAACCCAGTGATGAGTACCTTTCACGTCGAATCATAATCGAATGAAGCGAAAGTGTGGAAAGTCTAGTGTTGCGGATAGTTTTTAATTCTTTTCTCTTCTCTCTGTTTTTGAAAACTTATTTTAAGAAAACAGCCAATCCAGTTTGGTTGGTTCATGATATGGGTCCAATAGTAGTGTAGTTGGATGGGGCTTGCAAAGACATTTCCAACGATATATTTAAGCCCAATTCCGATGAATATTGAGGAAGTTATGGCCAATTTACTAAACATGTCCCGGTTTAAGCTTTATATATGGCCCAATAATCTAGGGGAGGGCCTAATATGATTTATCATTCCTAATGCAATTAGGAATGGTTTTAGTCTTCTAGATTCTTCTAGAAGGTTCTTTTCATTCCTAATCCAATTAGTATTGATAAATTGACTTTTGTTGACTTTTCAGAGTTTTAATCAAAATCAAATAGCATTTTCAAGGAAATTATATGATTTTATCCTCCAGTACGGCAAACTTATCTGATTTTCGAAAATACGTTAAAATTAGGCTTGGCGCCTGACCCCAGGCTTTGGCGCCTGACCCCAGGCTTTGGCGCCTAGAACCAGGCCTGGCGCCTGGCGCTAACCATTGGCGTCTGGCGCTAGTGTTGGTGCCTGACGCCAGTTAGCCAGGGTTTGCGCCAGCTCTATTTTTTGTGCGTCAGACTCTGTTTTGTTAATTTTATCTTTTTGGCTGATTTTCTCTATAAATAACGTATTAAAAACTCCGTTTTCATTCACCAATTCTCACGATCATTCATCTACAATCAGTTTTCTAATCTCTCTCTCTTTCCTCAATTCTTTCTTCTAAACTTTGCTTTTTACAATTATTTAATTTAATTGTTTGTTTATTATTTTCCTTGAAGTTACTAACGTGTGTATTTTGTTATTAGAAAGAGGTACGAGGCATCAAAGTAAGTGTTTTAATGGTTTTATTGATATTATGATGTAGAAATCATGTTTATATTGTTATTATGATATTCCTAGTATCATGTTCAGGGGAAAAGTTATAATATCAAATATGCTTATTTATTTTCTGCGATGCTTCCTATGTTCTTCCTAATATTTATGATTGTTAGTATCATGTTAGGGCTAAAGACTTGATTTTTATTGCTTAGTGACATTCTAGGGTTTGTTATTAATCTTGTTAGTATCATGCCTTGGATCTTGCTATTATTATTATGCTTTAATATTAACATGAACATGATTACCATGATTATTTTTATGATTATTATTATTATTATTTTGATGATGATTATTTTATTTATAATGATATTATTGCTATAATTATTATGATTATTATAATGATTGATTATTATTGTGTTTCTTGATTTTCATTGTTATTGCTTGATCACGGCTTTTATGCATGTTTAAAGGGAATTTTGTACTTGTAATC